ACGGCACTCACGGAAATCCCAATCAGGTCTGCCAGCTACTGAAATCGCTCTACGGAATCAAACAAGCTCCGCGGCTGTGGCAACAGCACCTACACACCCGTCTCACCCGCATCGGATTCCGCCAACTACCTCATGACCAAGGGATGTACAGACTCACTAAAGGCACCGACTACATCATGCTGATCGTCTATGTCGACGACTTGCTCTACATCGGCTCCACCGACGACATCACCACCTGGTTCGAAGGGGAGCTGCAGAAAGACCTCACGCTCACGGTCTCTTCTACCGTGACCTAGTACCTCGGGCTCAACATCCGCGAAGAAGAAAATGCGATCTACCTAAGCGCCGAGAAATACGCCGACACCATCGCCAAACGCTTCTCAGTCACACCTACCGCCATCACCACGCCATACCGCTACACAGCAGGAAGCGACAAAGGAAATCCCGCCCCACTCAAAGCTGCCGGAATACGTGACTACCAGAGGAAGTTGGGCTGCCTCCTCTTCGCAGCCGTCACCTGTCGTCCAGATTTGTCTTACTCCGCAAGCCAACTCGCTACCTATCTCAAGAAACCTGAAGCAGAGCACCTGGCGGAGCTCGATCGCGCACTGCACTACTTCGTGAGCACACCGACGATCGGGCTGACTTACTACAAAAGCGAAGCTACGACGACGAAACTAATCGGCTATGTCGATGCCGATCACGCCGGCGATTCAGATAACAGGCGCTCTAGCACTGGCTACGTCTATCGTCTCGAGCCTATCGGACCTATCTCCTGGCAGTCGAGTAAGCAGGAACTAATCGCTCTCTCTTCAGCTGAAGCAGAATATATCGCCCTCTGCTCAGCCACCAAGGAAGGACTCTACCTTCGCGAGCTGTTGGAAGAAGCAAAATTAGCTGAGTTACCCAACTTCACCCTGTTCTGCGACAACCAATCTGCAATTCGCATCGCCAACAAAAGTGGATTCACGAACAGAACGAAGCATATCGCTCTGCGATACTTCTTCGTGAAAGACGAGATCGAGAAAGGAAAACTCGAATTATCCTACTGTCCCACGTCCGAGATGTCAGAACATTATAGCTTGCTTATTTGTGTAGGCTATAGTGGGGTATCCCATAGGGGGTACAACCCAATTAGGGTTTCCTATATGTACTCACTTCATTCATAGTCATTTCATTCTCGTTTTATTCTTCTCATGGTATCGAGCAGGTTCCCTTGTGGGAACTGTGCTTAGGGCCCACCACTACTTCGAACTTTTTTTCTGCCCGGAGCGCGCTCCGGGCTCTCTCTTTCACTCTGTCGACCTACCCTTAGACGCCCGCGCGCCACCCGTTCCGGCCCTTAGCCGCCCGCGCGCTGCCCTTAGCCGCCCGCGCGCCGCCATTCTCGGCCCCTAGACGCCCGCGCGCTGCCCGTCCAGGCCCCACGCCGCCCGCGCGCCGCCCTTAGCCGCCCGCGCACCGCCCGTCAGGCCTCGAGCCGCCGTCGCGCCACCCTCAGGCACTCGTGCGGCGCCCGTCCCAGCCCGTCGATGCCGTGCGCCGCCCGTCCCGGCCCCACGCCACCCGTGCGCCGCCCGTCAGGCCCCCACCCCGCCGTCGCGCTGCCCGTCAGGCCCCACGCCACCCGTGCGCCGCCCGTCAGGCTCCACGCCGCCGTCGCGCCGCCGTTCTGGCCCGTCGACGCCGTGCGCCGCCCGTCCCGGCCCCGAGCCACCTGGCGCCGCCCGTCCCGGCCGCGCACAGCCGTCCCGGCTCCTAGGCGCCTGTGCGCCGCCCGTCCTGGCCCCTCGCCACCGTCCCGGCACCAAGCCGCTCGTGCGTCGTCCGTCCCGGCCCCGCTCCCAGCCGCCCGTGCGCCACCCGTCCCAGCCGTGCGCCGCCGTCCCGGCCCCACACTGCCCGTGCGCCACCCGTCCCTGCCGCACGCCGCCGTCCCGGCCCTACGCCGCCCGTACGCCGCTGTGACACCCGGTCGCCCGAGCCGCCCGTGCCACCCGCGTCACCCGAGCCGCCCGAGGCGCCTACGCAGCTGAGGAGCCGAGCCGCCCGAGCCGCATGTGCCGCTGAGCGCCCAAGCCGCCCGAGCCGCCCAAGCCGCCCGAGCAGCCCGAGCCGCCCGAACCGCCCGAGCCGCCCGAGTCGCCCGAGTCGCCTGAGGAGCCGAGCCGCTGGTCCTGCGGAGCTGCTGCTGGGCCGGCCGAGCTGCTGTGTTGCCGTGTTGCTGTGCTGCTGAGCTGCCCGACCCGTCCTGTCTGGTGAGACTGTCGACTGCTGTCATGGCTACCCCTAGTGTCCTAGCTTTTGACTCTGAGGGTCGCGCCATTGACTTTGAGGTATGGGTCGACGACCTGCAGCTGTTCTTGCAGTGCGATAGAGCAGACGATCTTTCTCTCTTTGACCTCACCTCTGGCGCCGTCCCTGCCCCTGCTGCTGATGCTGACCCCACTGTTCGCTCTCAGTGGGCCACCCGCGATGCAGCTGCACGTCTTGCTGTGCGTCGCCACCTGCCTACCGCTGAGCGCGCGCACTTTAGTCAGTACAAGAGTGCTCAGACCTTGTACGACGCTGTAGTTGCGCGCTACTCTTCCCCTCCCACTGCTGCACTGAGCCGCCTCATGCTACCCTTCATCTTCCCTGACCTTGCCGCCTTTCCCACAGTCGCTGATCTCATTACGCACCTCCGCACTAGTGACACCCGCTACCGCGCTGCGCTTCCTGCTGACTTCTGCGCAAAGAACCCCCCCCCCCCCCCCCCATGTACATCACTCTCTACTTTCTAGTCACCCGCCTCCCCGACTCCCTTCGTGTAGTCCGGGACCACTTCCTTGCGGTCTGTCCCACCACTCTCACAGTCGACAGCCTAGAGAAGGCCCTCTTAGCGGCGGAAAAGAGCATCGTCGCTGTAGGTGCCTCTCGGGGTGACCCCCGCGCCCCCATCTTTGAGGGGTGTTCTCTTTCCCCTCTCTTACCCTCTGTCGCCTCTGCCGCTGCGGCCGACCTCGTTGGTCTTGAGTCGGTCGGTGCGGCGTCTGCCCCTAGCGGGAGACGTCGCCCTGGCAAAGGCAAGGGGGGCAAGGGAGCAGGTGGGGCTAGCGGGGGCGGAGGCGGTGGAGGTGGAGGCGGCGGAGGGAGTGGGGGTGGCGGTGGAGGAGGTGGTGGGGGTGGGGGTGCTACTGGTAGCAGTGGAGGCGGAGGCGGCATCAGCGGCGGCGGTACTGGCGGGGGTGGCGGCGGTGGCGGAGGTGGGGGAGGTGGAGGTGGAGGTGGTGGAGGTGGTCGGAGTGGCACGTCGCAGCGGAGCGGCACTGGGGGTGGTCAGCGCCAGCAGCAGCAGCAGCAGCAGCGTTCTCGCGACGTCCCCACCCCTCAGCAGCTCCATGAGTGGTACACACAGCGTTAGCGTGGTGGGGGACTTGGTCCCTACACCTATGTCCTTCGCACCGGTGACCGTGCGGGTGAGCAGTGTGGGGGTGCCCACTCCACCCTGCGCTGTTTTGGCCGCCTGACGGACGCTTGGCGTCAGCAGTTTCCGGAGGCCACGGAGATCCCCCGCTGAGGAGAGCTGTCTAGGGCTGGCGTAGCTATTTTTGATATTGAATTTGATGCTATCCTTGCTGCCATGTATGCTGTGACCATTAGTGATGAGGGTGACTGTTACCGGTGTTTTCCGCCCGCCCCGGGCATTGAGACTGCTGCTCTAGGTACTGGTGAGGCTGCTGCCCTAGGTGCTTACGACGCTGCTGCTCTAGGTGCTAGTGTGTCTGCGTCCTCGGGTACTGGTGAGTCTGCGCTCTCAGGTGCTACGTCGGCTTCGGCCTCCCACACCTTCACCCTTGACTCTGGGGCGTCTCGCTCCTTCTTTCGGGATCGCACCACACTCACGCCGCTTAGTCGGCCAGTTGCGGTTTCCCTGGCTGACCCCTCCGGGGGTCCTATCCTGTCTCGCTTCTCCACTGTCCTCCCGTGTCTGGCGGCTCCCTCTGGCACCCTGTCTGGTCTCTACCTCCCCTCGTTCTCTACGAACTTGGTGAGTGGTTCTGAACTACAGGATGCGGGAGTCCACCAGTTCACCCCTGCTCGTCAGCGGGTGACGCACTGCACAAAGGCTAGCACAGGTCGACACCTGGCTACGTTTACCCGTCAGCCAGGGTCGAGCCTGTACACACTGACCACTGCGTCTCCCCCAGTTACTGAGTCTGGTAGGGCCCCTGCGTCTGGTCAGGTGTTTGCTGCAGCGTCCAGGACTCGTACTGAGTCTGCCCCTTGTTCGTGTCGTCTCCTGTCTCACGAGACTCTCCTCTGGCACCACCGCCTAGGTCACCCCTCTCTGCTTCGGCTCAGAGGCATGGCCTCCCGTCTTCTTGTGTCTGGTCTCCCCCGGTCCCTCCCTCCCCTTCCTCCGGGCCCTGGCCCTACCTGTGTCCCCTGTGTTGAGGGGCGCCAGTGTGCTGCCCCTCACTCCTCCCAGTTTCCTCTGATAGAGGCCCCGTTGCAGACGCTTCACACGGACGTGTGGGGCCCAGCCCGCGTCCGTGGACAGGGTCACGAGCGCTACTTCCTGCTTGTTGTTGACGACTACTCGCGTTACACCACAGTCTTCCCCTTGCGCAGCAAGGGTGATGTCACTGAGGTGCTGATCGACTGGATCCGCGCAGCTCGTCTCCAGCTCAGGAAGAGCTTTGGCTCGGACTTTCCTGTTCTGCGTCTGTACTCGGACAGAGGCGGAGAGTTCTCCTCTGGCCTTCTAAGAGCCTACTGTCGCGCACGAGGCATTCGTCAGACCTTCACGCTTCCGGAATCTCCACAGCAGAATGGGATCGCTGAGCGCCGCATTGGCATGGTCAATGACGTCGCTCGTACGTCCATGATGCATGCGGCTGCCCCCCATTTTCTGTGGCCATTTGCGGTGACGTACGCGGCGCATCAGATCAACCTTCACCCAAGGGTCTCCCTGCCGGAGACCTCCCGAGCCCTGCTGTGGACGGGGAAGGTTGGCGATGCGTCGGCGTTCCGGGTCTGGGGATCTCGGGCGTTTGTCCGCGACCTGTCTGCGGACAAGCTGTCCCCTCGCGCTGCTCCCTGTGTCTTCCTGGGGTTCCCCCCCGACGCCCCTGGGTGGCAGTTCTACCACCCCACCTCTCGCCGTGTTCTGTCCTCCCAGGACGTCACGTTCGACGAGTCGGTACCCTACTACCGCCTCTTCCCCTACCGCACTCCGTCCCCCCCCCCACCCCCGCTCTTCTTGGTACCAGGTCCCCCCCCGGTAGACCCCCTTCCCCCTCAGGGTCATGCCCCTTCAGATGTGTCCCAGGTAGACGCGGTCGAGCCTGTCGAGGTCACTGGTGACTCTGGTGCTGCTGCGGGTGCTGAGCCTAGGGGTGCTGAGACTGGGGGTGCTGAGCCTAGAGGTGCTGCGCCTGGGGGTGCTGAGCCTGGGGGTGCTGAGCCTGGGGGTGCTGTGCCTGGGGGTGCTGAGCCTGGGGGTGCTGAGCTTGGGGGTGCTACGCCTGGAGGTGCTTTGCCCGGGGGTGCTGAGCCTGGAGTTTCTTCGCCTGGAGGTTCGCCGGATGCTTCGTCCCGCCGAGAGCCACTCTCCCCACAGGAGCTGCGTGAGTGGTTTGCCCGGCGCTGGAGTCGTACTACTGGTGCTGGAGGTTCTTTAACTGCTGAGGGTGCTACTGTCGCGGGTCCCGGAGGTGCTCGTACTGTGAGTACTTGAGCTGCTGGGCCTGTTGGTTCGACTGGAGCTGGTGCTGAGGGTGTTGGCACTGAGACTACCGCTGGCGGTCCTGCTGGCGGTGCTCCTGGTGCTGCTGGGGGTTTTGGAGCTACTGGGGGTGCTGCTGGAGGTGCTACTGGAGCGGGTGCTCCTGCTGGGGGTACTGGTGCTGTCCCTGCTGTGTCTGGCGTCGCCGCGCGGCCTCGACCGTACTTCGTTCCACTCCTGCAGCAGGTTCTTGGTCTTCCACCTTCTACTGGCTCTCCTCCTCTCTTAGAGCGTCCACAGCCTGTCCCGTCCCAGTCACAACTACAGCCTGCTTCCCCCTTACCTGCTGCTTCTCCATACGCTGGTCCTACTGGAGGTCTTACTGAGCGTCGTGAGCCTGCGTCTCGTCCTGCGTCACCTGTTCGTCCTGCACGCGCTAGTGGTCGCAGTTCGCGTCAGCGTCCTCCTCCTGTCCCTGGCACGCACCGGATGTCACTGCGCCCGTCCACTGCTCCTCTGCGTGCCCCGTTACCTTCTCCTCCTGAGTCCCCTCTTCCTGCTCTTGCCGACCCGGAGTCGGACTCTCTTCGTGCTGCCAGTCCTACTGTCACGCGTTTCCTTGCTACTGTCGTCACTGACCCTTCTTTCGAGTCTTCTGCTGCGTCTGCCCTCGTTTCTGAGCTCATCGACTTTGCTGCTCGCTGTCGCTTAGACTACGCTCCTAGTCTTGTCGCTGAGCTTGAGTCTGTCTGTCCTCCGTCCGTCGGGGGTGAGTGTGCCCTTGGCGCGGACGTCCTCGAGGACAGGCAGGAGGAGTTCCAGTGCCTGGCAGCCACTTCACCGCATCTCTTGTCCGTACTGCTTACCCCTGAGGGAGACCCGGATGCACTTGACATCGCGACTCCGCGCTCTTACGCGGAGGCGATAGAGGGTCCCTACTCCTCTCAGTGGCAGGCAGCTATGGATGCAGAGATGGCTTCCTGGAAGTCCACAGGCACCTACGTTGACGCTGTCCCCCCTCCTGGGGCGAACATCGTCAGTGGCATGTGGATCTTCATGGTGAAGCGGCCGCCGGGTTCTCCGCCTGTCTTCAAGGCGCGTTACGTGGCTCGTGGCTTCAGACATCGGCAGGGGGTTGACTACTTTCAGACCTTCTCCCCCACCCCGAAGATGACCACTCTTCGGGTACTACTGCACGTTGCTGTCCACCGTGACTACGAGCTGCACTCTCTCGACTTCAGCACTGCGTTCTTGCAGGGCAGCCTGCACGAGGAGATCTGGCTGCGTCGCCCACCTGGCTTCACTGGGTCTTTCCCTCCTGGTACCCAGTGGAGTCTCCGGCGTCCAGTTTACGGTCTCCGCTAGGTGCCCCGTGAGTGGCACGACACACTGAGGACTACGCTTGCGGCTCTTGGGTTTGCTCCTTCTACTGCCGACCCGTCGCTGTTTCTGCGCACCGACACTTCTCTGCCGCCGTTCTACATCCTCGTGTACGTCGACGACTTGGTCTTTGCCACAGCTGACACTACTGGACTCGCCTACGTGAAGTCCGAGTTGCAGAAGAGACACACGTGCACTGACCTGGGTCAACTACGCAGCTACCTTGGCTTGCAGATCACCCGGGACAGAGCACGCCGCACCATTACCTTGAATCAGTCACACATGGTGCAGCAGGTCCTTCAGCGCTTCGGCTTCACGTACTCCTCGCCTCAGGCCACTCCTCTGCCTACTCGCCACTCGCTCTCAGCTCTGCCTTCGGATGAGTCCGTAGAGTCGAGTGGCCCGTATCCAGAGCTTGTTGGCTGCCTCATGTACTTGATGACCTGCACTCGACCTGACCTTGCATACCCTCTTAGCGTTCTCGCACGCTATGTTGCTCCTGGGAGACACCGACCAGAGCACATGGCTGCAGCGAAGAGGGTGTTGCGCTACTTGTGCAGTACGTCGGGCATGGGGCTAGAACTTGGAGGGCGGAGTCCAGTGGTCCTCACTGGGCACGCGGACGCTTCTTGGGCTAACGACCAGGCTACGCAGCGGTCGTCACAGGGTTACACCTTCAGCCTCGGTTCCGGCTCTGTTTCGTGGCGGGCTACCCGCTCGTCTTCTGTTCCCGGCTCCAGTTGTGAGGCTGAGATCTACGCCGGGGCTATGGCTGCCCAGGAGCTTCGCTGGCTCACCTACCTGCTGACCGACCTTGGAGAGCCGCCTCGTTCTCCTTCAGTGCTGTATGTAGACAACAAGGCCATGCTGGCCTTGTGTCGAGAGCAGTGACTGGAGCACAGGGCAAAGCACATTGCTCTTCGCTACTTTCTTGCTCGTGAGCTACAGCACCGTGGACAGTTGCGGCTTGTGTACGTGGCCTCTGAGGCCAACACTGCTGATGTCTTCACCAAGGCACTTGCACCTTGTGATCATCAGCGTTTCTGCACTCAGTTGGGTCTTGTGCCTGTCTTGCCTCACTTGCTCACTTCTTGACCTTGTTTGTACTATCACTTATATATACTCTTTCTCTTGCTTGCTTAGCCTCTTGTATATATATATATATATATATATATATATGAGTTCTTGCATGTGAACTGGCCTTTTGGCCTTTGAACTTGTACTCGGAATGTGTGGTGACCTTGTGATCCACCCTGAGCTTTGCCTTGCTTTGCTTGACTGGTCTTGTGACCCCTTGTTCTCCCCCACTTTGCCTATGGGGGTGTGTCAGAACATTATAGCTTGCTTATTTGTGTAGGCTATAGTGGGGTATCCCATAGGGGGTACAACCCAATTAGGATTTCCTATATGTACTCACTTCATTCATAGTCATTTCATTCTCGTTCTATTCTTCTCACGAGATGGCAGCCGACTACTTGACCAAGAAACTCGGAAAACAGAAGTTCGAGTACTGCATGCTGCTGACTGGACAAGGCCACGTCACCGTCAGCGACACTCCAGAAGCGAAGGGGAGTGTTGGGAATAAGTCCTAAAGCGCCTCTGTCGTGTCGAAACTCAGGACACTAGCGAAGCAGTCCGAATCGAAGCATCGCGAGTCAACCCTCGGAGGTTGAGGTAAACGCCTGGAGGTTACACGAAGGTCAAAGGTCAGTGACCTTTGACTTGACAAAACAGCGCGACAGCAAGGACACACAACTGACTCGACATTGAGCAGTTGCCGGAGTCGCACTGTATCGAATCGCAACAGCAAAAACAGTTTAGTTATATCTATTCGTATTCCTTGTTCTCTTATATAAAGCCTTGTATTTTGCTTGTTTTAATCAACTTACTTTTCCCTCACATACTAGCGCAAGGTGGTTCAAGGGCTTTCATTCAACGCTTCCGCTATTACAATTCTACTCAGACTTCAACTCTACAAAGATCCTAGGGCACCTCAGCCCAACAAAGTTAAGGATGAAGAATAGAAGAAACAGATGCAAGCTTATGCAGAAAGAAACAAAATCTTAAGAAAAAAACAAGAAGAACCTGAAATTTTTACGAAGGGCTTAGAACCTAAGTTTAAACAACTAAGTCTAGCTAATACTCAAACATTTACACAGTTAAGATACGGAATGACTGAATGTTAGTATATCTAATAGGCATTTAACTTAGTTGGAGTTAGAGGTGAGGGATCTTCTTACCTAAGTTGCAGTTAGAGTAGGTGGAGAAGTTGGTAGAGCGTGACCAGCGAGAAAAGAGAAGCGGGAGAAAAAAGGGATGGACAAACCCTAGTGGTAGTCTCAGATTCGTCACACAATTCACAGATGTTAAACTTTAGATGGACATCAGTTCTGTCACAGTCGTATAATATTGAATGTGGAATTGAGAGATCTCATTATTCCTGCTGGTGTTCTTTTAATCTTTGCCTAGTGAGAGGAGGTATCAGTTAGTGTCATACTACAGCATAACGTACAGAATTAGAAGTTGTACAAAGTTATGTAACTACGCAAAACGTTTCGCAACCCTAAGACGATTTCGTCGCCTCTTGTTTTTTTTTTTTTTTTTTTTGGAAGGAGAAGTGGTTTCACTAGCAAGAGTTGGGATACAAGTACAACACCCTAAATTGGGTTGTACTCATTACAGAATACCCCACTGCAGGCTAGACAGCAAATACATTCTGACACATTTGCCTCTGTTGGGCAAGCTGCAGCCGGTGGCGAGCGGACTTCAATGCCGCTTGCTGTTTTCCAATAATGTCCTTTGCGGCAGGGATTTTGAGGTTCTTAATCCCATGCGTCGCAGGGGTTGTGGGGTGGCGACCACAGTTCAGGACAAAGTGTTTCTCATGTGTGCTTTCATGCACAGAATTGTTCACATCAAATTCTACGACTGGCAACAATTCATCCCAATCGTCCTGAGTTGGGCTTATAGAAGAACAAAGCATTTGCTGAAGGGTGCGGTTGCTCCGCTCTGTCTGTCCATCCGTTTGCGGGTGGAAAGCAGACGACATCTTGAGCTTCGTTCCTAGTGTCTTAATGACCTCTTGCCAGAACCGGCTTTGTGAAGCGCGGATCTCGGCCAGACACCAACACACGAGGCCAAGCGTGTAAGCGGAAAACGTGTGTCACAAAGAACTTTGCCGTATCTTCCGCAGACACCTCAATCGTCGTGGGCACAAAGTGCACCATTTTGGTCAAGCGATCTACAAAACTAGTATTGACGTATGGTGGTTGAAGCAAACCACCAGTCTTCAGTGTGCTCGGCTTGTTTCGTGCACACGTGTTACAGCGAGTTACAAACTGCTGGACCTCAATGCCCAATTCCGGCCACCAGTATACATCACCGAGGGCCCACCGGGTTTTCTTCACACCCAGGTGTCCTCCATACTTGGTGGCGTGCACCTCTGCTAGAATATCATTCCGCAGGTTTCCCACATGTGGGACAACAATTTCTTTCTTGTGCCACAAGAGCTCATGCTCCCACAAGAGATCCTTTGTATTCTGTGGGTTCCGAAACTAATGATCAATATCATACCCTTTTGCGAATGCGTTTTAGAAAACCACCAAAGGCAATCTCACTCACTCGAGCAGCTACGAGGATGTTGAAACAAGCAGCAAACACTGCTACATGTTCATTATCATCAACACCCGTTGTTGCACCAATCGGCTGTCTGCTCAGAGGATCAGCCATGTTTGTCGAGCCCGCTCGATATCGAATATCATAGGTGAACCCACTGAGGAGTTCAGCCCATCAAGCTTGACGGCGGGTGAGTGTGGCTTGAGTGGCAAAATAGGTGTTCGGACAGTGGTCGGTCGTGACCACGAAGTCAACACCTTCGAGATAACATCTCTATGTTCGTAGTGCATGCACAACTGCCAACAATTCCTGTTCGGAAGTTGTATAGCGCTGCTCAGCCGCTGAAAGCTTTCTACTCTCAAATGCCACGGGGCGTCCTTCTTGCAAAAGAGCTGCTCCAATCCCTACTGTCGAGACATCAGTTACCACCTCGTAGGGCTTGGACAGGTCTGGCAAAGCCAGCACTGGAGCATTGGTCAGCATGGTTTTCACCTCCTCAAATGCTTTCTGGCATTAGTCAGTCCACTGCCAAGCATTACCCTTACGAGTGAGGGCAGTGAGTGGAGCGACTACGGAGGAATAATTTTCCAAGAAACGGCGAAAATAGTTTGCAAGCCCAAGAAATGATCTGACCTGTCCCATGTCCTGTGGAACGGGCCACTGTTGGACTGCCGCCAATTTCTTTGGATCAGCTTTGAGGCCATCGTTGCCTACCAAGTGACCAAGGTATTCCAACTCGCGTTAGTAGAAGTGACACTTCCACAACCGAGCAAAGAATTTATGCTCTCGCAATTTTCCTAACACCCATTTCAGGTGTTACGTGTGTTCTTCTTCGGTCTTCGAGTACACGAGAATGTCATCCAAGTATACCAGGACGAATTGGCCGATTGCCTCCCGAAACACATCATTCATTGCTCGCTGAAATGACGCGGGAGCATTTGTCAAGCCAAAACTTAACACACGCCACTGAAAGTGTCCAAACGGCGTTCGAAAAGCCTTTTTAGGAACATCTACCTCGGTGATGCGCACCTGATGATACCCCTGAGCTAAGTCCAGCGCACTGAGTCACTGAGCTCCTTGGAGCCGATCAAACAGATCATCAATTCGTGGTAGAGGGTATTTGCTCTTCACCGTAATCTTGTTCAAGGCACGATAATCTACGCACATGCGTAATCCTCCGCCCTTCTCGTTAACGAACAAAATTGGTGCTCCGTAAAGGGATGCATTGGGTTCAATCCACCATTTTCTGAGGTATTCCTTGATCTATTGTTTGGCCTCTTCTTACTCAGCTGGACTGAGGCGATACAGAGTGTGAGAAGTTTGAAGAGAGAAGAGGGTTTGACAAGCAGCAGTTGGGATACATATAGCAAACCCTAACAGGGTTGTACTCGCTATAGAGCACCCCACTACAGGCTAGATAAGAACATTCTGACACACCCCCATAGCCAAAGTGGGGTGTAATCAGCACAGTGAGAAAGCAGGTATAGAGCAGGAGTTTACACAGATAAGCAAAGCTAGAGCTAATCACAACGGACAAGTGAGGAGGAGGAGGAGCTGTGGGGAGAGAAGATGGGAGGCGACTGCTGACGTTGCAGACACACAGACGAGCTGCTGGCTCAGTGGCTACCGGACCAGCGCTCCGGACTACTGGAGTAACTGGCCCCGCGGCTAATAGTAGCGGCAGACGAGCAACGGACCCACGAGCGACTGGTGACTACCGGAGATTGTAGCCTCCGGACTGCTGCTGCTGCTGACGACAAGACTGCTGCCTCCACTCAACCTCCCCCAACTGTCCCACACTCTCGGCACATGCCCACTGTTCAAACCCTAGCTCCACTCCCACGCACCCCCCTTAAACCCTAAACCCCAGTCTCCCACTCGTCCACCCCCCTCAGCGACAGCTGCAGCAGTGGGAGACGAAGGAGGAGGAGGAGCAAAGGGAGGAATGCACAACTGCCACCCCCATACTCGCCACCCCTTACTCGCCACCCCCATACCCTGAGTGTGCGGTAAGCGAGCTCACGTGTGCGCGAAGCGTGCACAAGTGTGCGGGAAGCGAACTCGAGCGTGTGGTAAGCAAACGCAGGTGTGCGGGGAGGGGGGGCCGCAGAGCGACACGCGGGTCGACGGGGATGGGCGCACGGGTCGCCAGGGGCGGCGCGCGGGTCGACGGGGCCGCGGCGAAGGGCGACGGGGAGCCGCGCGCGGGTCGACGGGGCCGCCGCGAAGGGCGACATGGAGCCGCGCGAAGGTCGACGGGGACGGGCGCGCAGGTCGACGGAACGCGAAACCGCCGCGTGCGCCCAGGGTGCACGGTGGGCAGGAAACCGCCACGCATTTCGAGCGCATGGCGGGCAGAAAACCGCCGCGCGAAGCAGGAAACCGCCGCGCGCCTCGGGGCGCACGGCGGGCCGAAAACCGCCGCGCGCCTCGGGGCGCACGGCGGGAATAAAAAGTGCCGCACGCCACGGGGCGTGCGGCTCAGAGTGTAGTGGTAGGAGTTGCAGCGGAAGCTAGGAGGTGGTAAGCCCACCCACAGGATCGATCCAAGGGGATCGACCTGCTCTGATAGCATGTTAAAAGTTAGAAGAGAGAAGAGGGTTGGACTAGCAGCAGTTGGGATACATATAGCAAACCCTAACAGGGTTGTACTCGCTATAGAGCACCCCACTACAGGCTAGATAAGAACATTCTGACACAGAGGCCGAAAGGGTTGAACCTTTCCTGGTTCAACAGGGATGGTGTGACCCAATGCGCGGTCAGGCGGAAGTCCATCAGGGATGGTTTCAAACACTTCCTTAAATTCCTCTGCTAGTAGTTGCATTTGAGGAGGGAAATCCTCAATTGCTGGCTCCGAGTCCTCAGCATTCTCAAGCTGTACCACGAACAGTGTATCAGCCGACTTAACAGAATGCCCGAACTGGTTGGCCAACACACAGAGAGCGTTGGGACGTTCAGGCGTGTGTGTTTCAGTGGGCAAAGTATCATTGACTTGCCACTGGATTGCCTTTCTGTTCTTGTTGAACGAGACAATGTTGTACTGGAAGTCCGGAATGACTTCGTTGGCTCGCAACCAATCTATGCCCAGGATGAGGTCGACACCTGACAAAAGTGGTAGGACGTAAACGCGAAATGTTTCGCTATAGTCCTGTACATTCATGTCGATATGTGTCTGTCATTTACTTGGAATGACACGATCGTCACCCAAGCGGATGGGACATGACGGTCCTACAACGAGGACGTTGCGTTTCGTGACCCAAGTTGCATCAACAAGGGAAACCGACGCGCCTGTATCGACGAGAATCCTTGCTTCGTCCCCATTCATGCGTCCAGATAACAGTAGATTCTGTTGGAATCTTGGACGGATGGGACAAGCGACAACAAGTTTAGGAGGTCGATAGTACACCCTAAATTTGTTGTGAGCACGTCCAAATCTTTGGGAGCTGGTCCACCAGACGTGGTGCCCTTTGTCCCATGTTGCCAGGATATACCATTCGTGAAAGCGGCGGAATAACTCTCCTTTCACGATTCGAGTCACCAATCCCACTGACATGAGCGGGTGCTCTTGGACACAACGGTCCACAATATCCATGATTGCTGGCAACTCGTTAAACGAGCAAGAGATGATAGAAAATTTATCTCTCAAAGATTCAATTGAGATGTTTTCAAGTGGGTACGATCGATTTTTAAAAACAGATTTTTCATTAATAGAAGAGGCATACAAACAAGCGATTTTGCATGATGCAAGCTTCTCTAGCTTTAGCAAATCCTCATCACGAAGGACATAAGTCTCATCTACTCGATCTCGCTCACCAACTAGGTACCCACCCCCTAGTTGGACTTCGGAAAATCCTTCGAGCCCGAAGGGCCAGAACCATCCGGCTTCTTGCCCTGGTTGGGCTTGCCGGAGTTCTTGACGGAGTTCCTCCAACGGCAGTGATAGGACTTGTGGCCGAGCTTGCCACAGATGCAGCAGCCCGCCGGGGCTTATCCTCATCCTGAGGATCCTTGGCAGGCCCAGCATGGGCCCTCTTGGATTGAGTCCCAGAGGATTCCCCCTTCTGCTGATAGGGCCTCTTCTAAGAGCCACCGCCCCTGTGGGCCTGAGTCCTGCTACTACCCCCCCTAGAGCCTTCGGCACTAGGCTGCTGCTGAGCACGTGCGTGAGTCATGTACACACGGAAATTCACATCCGTGTCAATGACATGCTCCTTGCACTCCTTGTAGGTCCTCCACTGGTGCTCCCCACGCACAACATGCACACGCTTGATGTGCTCAGGGAGTCCCTTGAAGAACTGGTGGATGACCTCGCTCTCAGGAAGAGCAGTCTTCAGCAGCGACAGAGTTTTCTCAAACTCCTTGGCGTACTCGCGTACAGGCTGGTCACCGCACTGGATGTTCTCCAGGCGGCTACGCACCTCGAGCGCCAGGGGCTGACTCAGGAATGCCGCCAGCATGGCAGCTTTGAACTCCTCCCAGCCAAAAGGATGGCCATTAGCCTCTGCGTGGCGCTTATTGGCATACACCAACTTGCTCGCAGTGTCGTCCAGGGCAAGGGTCGCAGCGACTACGCGAGCCTCGCTACGCACATTGTGGATGGACATAAAGTCCTCCACAATGGAGAGCCAAGCCTCAACGTCAGTTTTGCCATGGACAAAACGAGGCAGGGCCGAAGGGCAGGAGCCAAAAGCAGTTGCTGCTGCAGTAGGAGGCTCAGCACGTGCTCCAGTAGGAGGAGGAACAGCAGGAGGTGCATCAGCAGGTGCAGCACGGCTGTTAGCGGCGTTGGCGACTCACTCTGCTGCAGGAGCAGGTTGGTTGAGGTTTCCACGCCGGATCTCTCTGTACTGAGTCTGAAGCACAGAGATGTGTTTCTCTTGCTTCTTGAGCTGATCTTGCACGAACTGGAGAGTGGTCTGCAGGTCGTGGATGAAGCTGGAGGTGTAATTTCCCTTAGGAATCGACTGCACCTCCCTGGTCAGCTTCTCAATCAAGGCCTGAAGCTTAACAGAATCAGCTTCCAAGTTCTGGATGCGGCAGTGCTGATCTCCAATGAGAATGTTATGCTCCGTGATTTGAGTCTGAATCTTAACAGCGATGTCCTCAGTCTCATTAGAGACACCCTCAGCAGAGCCAGCCTCATCCTCATTGTCAACATCAACCTCAAGGTCAGCTTCACTTCCATTGATCTCCATGTCAACCACGAAGTCCTCAAGGTTGAGATCAATGTCAGCAGCAGCAGCAGCATTATCTCCTTCATTGCCAACAACAGACACCTCCTTAGTAGCATCCATCTCTTGACCAGAAGCCATGAAATAGGTTAAGGAGAGGAGATCTCAACAGATCTTATAATAATCTTAATGAAAACTGATTACTCTGATAGAATAATCCAATATAGAATCTCTTAAGATTGACTTGTTTGCTAAATATCTCTATCACCTCAATGATAGAGCAAGATATACTCCAAAGAGTAATCCTCAACAAGTCCTTGTAGATCTGAAGATTAACCCGTCTACCCGGGATAGATCAAGTGTCTTCCACCAAAGATGGGTAAGAGAAAGTATTCTCTTCAAGTTTCTTCTCTATGTTGATGAAGAAGAAGAAGCTCCTTGTAGATCTTGCACTCCAATGAAGAGTTAGAATAGTTGTAGCTTGGATTTTGTAGATCTTTGGAAAAGCTTTTGCAGATCTTGAAGAAACACTTGTAAATCTTGAAATTTCTTCAAAATCTTTACTGCTCCTTGGATAAAATCCTAGATCCACAAGCTAGGATCCTCTAAAAAAAATATCCAAGTAGCAAATGGCCACGCAAGGCCAAGGAAGAACCTTGCTCTAGATACCAATGTAATGCCCAAGGCTTGTCAGAATGTTATATTATGCTGTATCCTGTAGTGGGGTGCTCTATAGTGAGTAATACCCTTCTAGGGTTTGCTATTTGTATCCCCATTCTTGCTAGTGCAATCCTCTTCTCATCTAATTTTCACATGGTATCAGAGCAGTAGCCTCACTAGCACCTAGAGCAGCAGTACCAATGCCCGGGTCGGGCGGGAAACACCGGTAACAGTCACCCTCCTCACTAATAGTCAGAGCATACATGGCAGCAAGGATAGCATCAAAGTCAAGATCAAAGATAGCTACGCCTGCCCTAGACAGCTCTCCCTAGCGGGGGATCTCCGTGGCCTCAGGGAACTGCTTACGCCAAGCGTCCGTCAGGCGGCCAAACCAGCGCTGGGTGGGGTGGGCACCCCCACACTGCTCACCCGCGCGGTCACCAGTGCGAAGGACGTAGGTGCAGTGACCAAAACCCCCACCACGCTGACGCTGCGTGTACCACTCACGGAGCTGCTGAGGGGTGGGGACGTCGCGAGAACGCTGCTGGCGCTGACCACCCCCAATGCTGCTCCGCTGCGAAGCGCTACTCCGACCACCTCCACCTCCGCCTCCTCAACCTCCGCCACCACCGCCGCCCCCGCCAGTACCGCCGCCGCCGACGCCGCCTCCGCCTCCACTGCTGCCACTAGCACCTCCACCCCCGCCACCACCTCCACCGCCACCCCCACTCTCTCCGCCGCCTCCACCTCCACCTCCACCGCCCCCGCTAGCTCCACCCGCTCCCTTGCCCCCCTTGACCTTGCCAGGGCGGCGTCTCCCGCTAGGGGCAGACGCCGCACCGACCGACTCAAGACCAACGAGGTTGGCCGCAGCGGCAGAGGCGACAGAGGGCAAGAGAGGGGAAGGAGAACACCCCTCAAAGATGGGGGTGCGGGTGGTCACCACGAGAGGCTCCTATAGCGACGATGGTCTTCTCCGCTGCTAGGAGGGCCTTCTCTAGGAGGTCGACAGTGAGAGTGGTGGGACAGACCGAGAGGAAGTGGTCCCGGACTACACGAAGGGAGTCAGAGAGGCGGGTGACTAGAAAGTAGAGAGTGATGTACATGGGGGGGGGTTCTTGGCACAGAACTCAGCAGGAAGCGCGGCGCGGTAGCGGGACTGGCGGGGGCGGCGGTGGTGGCGGAGGTGGAGGAGGCGGAGGTGGAGGTGGTGGAGGTGGTCGGAGTTGCGCTTCGCAGCGGAGCAGCACTAGGGGTGGTCAACGCCAGCAGCACCTGTATTCCGGGGACTTCGTCCGGTAGCCCAGTCGTAGCCAGCTGTGCCAGCCGCCCGTGGGTCCGTTGCTCGTCTGCCGCTATTTTAGCCGCGGGGCCTGTTACTCCTGTATTCCGGGGACTTCGTGTCAGATGATTATAGTGCTGATGCATATATGTAGGCTGTAGTGGGGTAGCCAATAGGGGGTACAACCCAATTAGGGTTGGTACTTGTACTCGTTTCATTTTCATTGTGCACTCATTCCTCTCTCAACTCAACATGGTATAGAGCGGGTTCCCTGTGGGAACTTCACCTAGGGCCCACCGAAGCGCGCCCCGAGGCGCGCCAACTTTTTTTTTTCTCTCGATCGAGCGACCCTCCGTGTCGCCCTTCCCTCGCGGCCCTGCCGCCCTCTCTGACGCGGCCCCGCCGCCATTTCAGCCGCGGCTCTGCCGCCCATCTCGAACACGGCCCCGCCGCCTACTAAGGCGCGGCCCCGCCGCCCACTCAGACGCGGCCCCGCCGCCTGCTCACCCGCGGCCCCGCCGCTCGCTACGACGCGGCCCCGCGGCCTGCTCTGCCAGCCCCGCAGCTGCACCTGCCGGCCCCGCCGTCCCCTCTGCTGGCCCGCCACTGCACCTGCCGGCCCGCCGCAGCACCTGACGGCCCCGCCACTGCACCTGCCGGCCCGCCGCTGCACCTGATGGCCCCGCCGCTGCACCTGCCGGCCCGCCGCAGCACCTGACGGCCCGCCGCTGCACCTGCCGTCCCGCCGCACCACCTGACGGCCCCGCCGCTGCACCTGCCGGCCCGCCGCTGCACCTGACGGCCCCGCCGCTGCACCTGCCGGCCCGCCGCTGCACCTGACGGCCCCGTCGCTGCACCTGCCGGCCCGCCGCTACACCTGACGGCCCGCTGCTGCACCTGCCGGCCCGCCGCTCCACCTGACGGCCCCGCCGCTGCACCTGCCGGCCCGCCACTGCACTTGACGGCCCCGCCGCTGCACCTGCCGGCCCGCCGCACCACCTGACGGCCCCGCCGCTGCACCTGCCGGCCCGCCGCTGCACCTGACGGCCCCGCCGCTACACCTGCCGGCCCGCCGCTGCACCTGCCGACCCGCCGCTGCACCTACCGGCCCCGCCGCCCCACCAGCCGAGCCGCCGTAGCAGCCGAGCCGCCCCAGCAGCCGAGCCGCCGTAGCAGCCGGGCCGCCCCAGCAGCCGAGCCACCCCAGCAGCCGAGCCGCCCCAGCAGCCGAGCCGCCCCAGCAGCCGAGCCGCCCCGAGAAGCCGTGCCGCCCCAGCCGCCGAGTCGCCCGAGCCGCCCAGAAGTCGAGCCGCCGAGCCGCCCGAGCCGCCCGAGCCGCCCGAGCCCTCCCTGCACTGCCCTGTCTGGTGAGCACCGAGCTTTCCTCTACGCACTGCCCTCTCTCTACTGCTGTCATGGCTACCCCCAGTGTCCTCACTTTTGACGCTGAGGGCAGAGCCATCGACTTTGACGTGTGGGTAGACGACCTACTGCTTTTCCTACAGTGCGACAGAGCTGACGGACTCTCTCTCTTTGATCTCACTTCTGGTGCCTCTCCCGCCCCTACTGCTACTGAGGATGCCACTGTTCGCTCACAGTGGGCCACACGCGATGCTGCTGCACGTCTTGCTGTGCGTCGCCACCTCCCCCCTGCTGAGCGTGCACACTTTGGGTCGTACAAGAGTGCTAAGACCTTGTACGACGCCGTTATTGCACGCTACTCCACCCCTGCCACTGCTGCACTGAGCCGCCTCATGCTACCGTACCTCTTTCCCGACCTTGCTGCTTTTGCCACAGTCGCCGACCTCATTACCCACCTGCGCACTAGTGACGCTCGCTTCCGCGCTGCGCTTCCTGCTGAGTTCTGCGCCAAGAACCCCCCCCCCCAAGTACTTCACTCTCTACTACATTGTCACCCGCCTCCCTGACTCCCTTCGAGGAGTCAGGGATGACTTACTCTCAGTCTGCCCCACCACTCTCACCGTTGAGCTCCTCGAGAAGTCCCTCCTAGCGGCCAAGAAGAGCATTCTCGCTGTAGGGGCCTCTCGTGGTGACCCGCGCACCCCCATCTTTGAGGGGTGTTCCCCCTCCCCCCTCCTGCCCTCTGTCGCCTCTGCTGCTACGGTCGACCTAGTTGGTTTTGAGTCGGTCGGTGCGGCGTCTGCCCCTAGTGGGAGACGTCGCTCTGGCAAGGGCAAGGGGGGCAGGGGCGGTGGGGGAGGCGGCGGAGGCGGTGGAGGCGGCGGTGGGGACAGCGGAGGAGGTGAGGGTGGTAGCGGGAGTGGTGGCGGGAGTGGAGGTGTCAGCGGCGGCAGTGGCAGCGGGGGCGGCAGTGGCGGTGGTGGTGGGGGTGGAGGCGGAGGCGGTGGTGGCGGCAGCGATGGTGGAGGTGGCGGTGGCGGTGGAGGTGGTGGCGGCGGCGGCGGAGGAGGCGGCGGAGGGGGCGGCGGCGGTCGTGGCTCGTCGCGGAGGAGTGGCTCCGGTGGTGGTCAGCGCCAGCAGCAGCAGCGTGGTCAGGAGACCCTCTCCCCGCAGCAGCTCCGTGAGTGGTACGCTGCACGTCAGAGGGGTGGGGGTCCTGGTCCGTGCACCTACGTCCTGCGCACTGGCGACCGTGCGGGTGAGCAGTGTGGTGGTCCACACTCCGTCCAGCGCTGCTTCGGTCGCCTGACTGACGCTTGGCGCCGCCAGTTTCCTGACGCCTCTGAGATCCCTCGCTGGGACCAGCTGTCTAGGGCAGGAGTAGCTATCTTTGATCTTGACTTTGATGCTATTCTTCGTGCCATGTATGCTGTGACTATTAGTGAGGAGGGTGACTGTCACCGGTGTTTCCCGCCCGACCCGGGCATTGGTACTGCGGCTCTAGGTGCTGTTGAGGCTGCTGCTGTGTCAGTCTGCCTCCTGTTGCCCGTGTGTCTGCAGCTTCATCCGTCGCCTCCTATCTCCTCTCCTCTCACTCTCTCTCCTCCTCCTCACTTGCCCGTTGTGACTTCCTCTAGCTTTGCTCATAATTGTGAACTTTAAACTATTGCTTCTTGAACTTGTGCTCAGAATGTGTGGTGACATTGTGATCCACCCTGAGCTTGTTCTGTTTTGCTTACTCTGCTGATTACACCCCACTTTGGCTATGGGGGTGTGTCAGAATGTTATCTTATGCGCTAGCCTGTAGTGGGGTGCTCTATAGCGAGTACAACCCTTC